GATACTCTCCGAAGACATGCAATCCGTTGATTGACTGTACTAAAACAAAAAGAACATTACTTTTCAAATCGTTCACTTCTCTAGTTTACAAGGCAATTTAAACTTCTAACATGATGCTGTGCTTTTATCTATGTTTAAGTGTACAAAACAACAGCGAATGTAGTAATAGTGGATTTGTTAAGACAATACACAATTATTTGACGCTGATCACTCGCTTGACAAAAACTTCTTTTCTAATGTCTTCACGATTTCCTAAGATTGAAATCAAATATTTCGATATGTTTCTGTAACTAGTCATGGTGGACAGTGATCGATGTAACTAACATTCTCCTGTATCACTAGAGTTGATCTATCATGATTAATATTTTAATCATACATCGGCTTCTTGGTGAACTTCTTTTTTAGAAGTATATGAATACTTGATACAATCGATAGCACTTAGTAGTATTCATTTTCATTCGAAACTACTTATTAGCCTTACGCAATTAGTTCTAACTATAGTGCCAGGGTTGCGCTCAGCAGGATAGCATAGTAATAATAAGTATGAATTTAGATACATTATAAGTGTTTTGCCTTGATCAGCAAATTGAACTTCGAGAGATGTCATTGTGCATCAATAGAGAAAAAGTGCTAGATAATTCTTGTAATTGAAATGCTTCATTTGGAGCCATCTTTTATTCCGTTAATGATTAGATTACTATAAATTTGGCGGAGCACACCAACTTTTGATAGGATTTGAGGCTTTGAAAAAAGTAAATGATTCTCGAAATATTAAGACATTGGATACTGCGTACGACATTTTCCGTATGCTTAAAATTTCATTTTCTGGAATTAACCCGTATTCTTTTTTTAAAAAATCGAATTAGTATCAATTTTCATTAAAAAAAAATCAAAACAGAACTTTAATTTTAGTCAGTTAAACAATTTTCCAGACTTCGAATCAAATAGATCCTATGGGGAAAACTTTTCAGAATTGGTTTTTAATTCTAGTGATTTCAATGCGTGCTTCAAAACTCGATTTAAAGAGGACTTTGGTCGTAAATTTGTTTTTTTTCTTGGTTTAACTCGATTCTAGCAGAATATCACAGAAGAAAACGATGAGATCATCTAATTGATGAAAAATTCCTCCATGAAAAATCATTCCATGTAACATAAAATGAATCTCGATAGAATATGCGATAACATTACGCCATTGATGACTGCAGATGTAAGACAGAAATATTAAGCTGATAAAAGACCTGACAAAATACGAATATTTTCGTTGCTTGCGACTGACTTTGTTTAAGTCGTGATATTCGACTTCAGTGTTACAACTCTTAAAAGATGTTCAGTGAACTGAAGTCATAATAAAACGGAAAAAAAGATCGCCTGTTCTCAAGAATCAAACTTCATCTATTCTTCGATTTGGTCAAGCATTCCAGATCAGACAGACGTGAGAGTGAGTTTAATCTTAGTTTAATCGCATTTGCATGTTTTTGTATCCTTCCACATATATAATATTGATTCGAGATAAATGTCTTTAATATCATAATACCATATTCTTATTTGATTTCAAATTGAAGTACAAAAGGTTAGCATGTGTTGGAAGAACCGAATAAACATAGGCAACAACATCGACAGATAATGTCTTAACATTATTTCATCAAAGGACAGCAAGTACACGATGTAAGTGTAAGTATGTCTTCATTTCACTCGTAACTATACTCAGATTGATACATACGTCATAGCCACAGCAACATCTACATATTTTTTCCCCATAATATCTTAAACTTGTAGGATTAAACCTTTGAAAATTTCTGATCTCACTTTGCTTTCTTTTTATCATTATCAAATGTTGTATTGATTTATTTTTGGGGCTTCTTATTTGGCTTGAGATAAACTATTTTCAGTACTTCACTCTAACTGAAATACTAAATTATAGTTGCTTGTATGGCCATGCCTCTTTTTCTCACCTAAACCTCTATAATTTTGATAATTATTTTGAATTTATAAAATATATCGCCAACATAATAGTATAACAATAGTTTTAGTAGATAGCTATATCTAATAAACTCGCCAATGAAGATGAGAACATTATGATCTGATGAAATGACAAAATATAAAGAAAATCGTATATAGACTTACGTGTGTTTCATTCCTTAAATTGTTACTTTCTAAAATAGTTTGACATTGAATTTCATGCTTTTAAACACGAAAAAAAACTGATATTCCACTTCGTCTCTATCTTTTTCGTAGAAAAAAGTTAAAATTTTAGGAAAATAACCGATAGTATTGATCGATTTGAGTACATCATATGTTTCAAATCAATTAGATCAATAACAAAATTAAAAATTTTTCTTACGAACATAGGATAAAAACTAGGTAAGCATTAGTTTCAATCTGAAACGATTTTAATAAAATATTTACAGCTTGACATTGAATTAGATTGGCTGAAATTGAATAATAGCTAATTGGAGATAAAATTGAAACCAAATAACAAAACTATGCTACGATTGACTTCTATACATGTAAGCTAAAATTTTGATTTACGAATGAGTCCTAGTAGAATGAAATAAGAGTATCAGTCGAACTCTATATCTATAGCTTTGACAACGTGTCCAATTTCCGCCGAGCTTTTGGCAATCTTTGTACTATCAAAAAGTCCGACAAAAACTGAGCAAATTGTTAAAGTTCAAATGGATGACAGTATGTGTCAACATTTCCATGTTGCTCTCATGTTTTGACTTGTCTGGGCCCATATTGAATGCCGATTAATAATTTTTTATTCAGATTGTATCCAAAATATCAGAATCCACTAGAACAGAATCTTCAGAAGATACTCATTGCTATTGCATTTTTATTTCTTTTTTTCCTCTTGATCTGAATTCTACTTGGCTATATAAGATACATTATTCATTTCAAGATAAGAGCGAGCGACATAGCCAATGTTGATGCAAATGGTGAACAACTATTACTTCTAAATAGTGAAATCAATTGGTCTCGTTCACTGCACTATTCATTTTTGCTCGTATTTTATATTCTGGTGATCTGATGTTCCTTTTTGTGTACTCAAAAAGTGAGTACACTCTAGAACCGGTCAGTGTGTCCGGCCGGCCGGCCGTTAACACGATAACTTTTGAAAGGAGAGTCCGATCGCGATGAAATTTTCTACACAGTTTAGTCTTTACAATATCTCGGTCGAGTTCGAAGATGAGAATGATTGGCCGAGCCATTGCTGAGTTATTGCAAAAATAGTCATTTTTCCCTATGAGAAGATAGACCCTTCTCTGCTTTCGTAAAAAACTTTTCCTATCATAGTCATATAAACCCCCAACTATTATATACCATTCGATAGAGAATTTCACGAGCTACAAAACAGTATATAAAACATAAAGAAACAACAAGGCTAGCTCACCTATTGCAGAGATAAACAAACGGAAATCGGTTCTGTTTTTGTCTGCGCTCTAATCGATCCACAATTCGAGCTCTATCTTCCGATCACAGAGATAATACTTCGAGGTTTTCTAGGATGAAGAACTCGAATTTGTAATCCACTTCACTCGAAGCCCCATTGGTTGAGCACTGACCAATAGAAACCAAATTATAGGAAAAACGAGTTTTTTAGGATAACTCAAGGCGAAGAGTCCAAATCTGAGCTGTGTTCACTCCGAAATCCTATTGGTTGAGTAGTAGCCAATAGAATTCAAATGTTTATAGAAAGGATTTGCCAGGCTAATTTTTATATCCGCACATTCTAGGATGACCGATTTGTCTCATTTACTTTTTGAAGTACACATAACTCTCGGATTTAAATCCGAGGTTTCCACATTTATTCTTTCTTTATCATTGACTTGTGGATCGAGCTTTACGACAAGCATTAAATAATCATACAATATTGTTCTATTTAACATGGCATTAGTCACACAATCCATTAACATTCGTTGGTATATTGATTTTGCTTGAAACAGTATGTATTCTATCAAACAACGTTCATTTGGGTGGCATCTGTGACTATGCAGTCAGTGAATATTTTATCTACTTTCACCGTGATTATGCTCAATATTACTCCTCTCGTCTGCTTTATTGTACAGAAACAACGTCTTCATCAAGCTAACCAATAGTGCAAATATTCAACAATGATTATTCAAGTGTTATCAATTGCTAGTCTATATATTTCCGTTACTCTTTTGTTAGTACGTTTATTAATCTAGTGATTCAATATGGTTTATTTACTCTTGTTCAAGTACAATTTACGGCATTCTTTTAAACATATTAAATATCATTTTTTGTACATTTAGTCTGTTTGATTTCATTACGGAAACAGCGAGACAAAATAAGTAAAATTCTTTTATTACGGCTATTATGGTATCGAAATCAAGCAACTGTTCATCGGATGACGGACATCATGCTTCGAATTTGACAATAATGAATTCTATTATAATCTAAAAGTACGTTTACACTATATCTTTCACGTTTCTAATATTTTTGCGAACTGGGTACTATTGTAAGAATATACCACATAGTGGTCAACCATATGTTCCAGCGGTCAAAAGGTTCAAATAATGTTAATTGATGTAGTATTATTGTTATAAAAAAAATTATATGGTGATATTTGCCATGGTTTTCTCTACGATTATATTCAATTGTTGTATAATTTATGAAGCTCATCAATATACATATTCTACTACTATTATTCATTGTTCATATCACTATTAATATCTATTATTCGTATATATATGAACATACTTGTTCTCATTAGCAGAGTAAAGTACCAGACGATCTCAAGCCATTCTGCTTTCATTAGTATGAAAATGCGTCCAATCATCTTTATCCTTTTCTTCCACTCTCGATTGCTAGGATCGAAGGGGATGCGAGCCGCAAAAACTGCGATTTACATGTCCAACCACTATTATTTTCTTCGAAAAAAGATGTGAGCTTCACAAAAAACTAATATAATTTTCACTCTCAATCAACAACTTAAATACAATTTATTTCTTTTATTTTCACATAATAGTAAAACGCTAACTTTTTAATGCATCTTCATCAAATACCATTGGATTGATGGTGATAATAGCTCTATCGTCAAATCTTGTTGTTTTAGCATATTCTTTTGTTCTAACCGGATAGAGTACAACTGATAATGCTTTTTCATTTGGACCAACAAACACAATTCTTATTTTTTTTAAAATTAATTCTTAAAATGTCCATCTTGTGGTAATTGGTGGAAAAAATAGAAGTTGAATTACAAGTGAATCTAGTGTAGCTATAGTCATCTTATCAGATACACCATCTATAATTTTACTCCATAATTGAATACATCGTGAATCATTTAATGTAATACTTGTTAAAAGTCCTTTTGCTCAATAAGATGTGTTCTTTATGCCTTACTGTTCTTTTTTTCAAGAACAGATAGTGCACATTGACTTTAAAAAAGTTAAATTGAAAATGTTTACTAAAATCAGTTGATATTGCGAATGAAATTCTTTCGATTTTTCCATCACATTCACTTGATGCATCTAATTAACATAATAAAATAGGATATATTACAATGAAAAATAATGAAAATAATTAGAGACGGTTCTATTTGTTGTTACTATTAATTAAAAAGACGTTTTCAAAAAGACAAGCAAATGACGAATGTTTAGTTGTATAGGGAATTAATGATTTTAACCATTTCGATCCGCCATTAATTTGAAAAATGATTCTACTCAATATGTTGTCCTTAGAAATCGTAAAACGGAATAATAATTGTCAGGACACCTTAACAATTGATTAATAAATTGGCAATGTTTTTCTGTTCAAATCAGTAATAAATCAATGATATAGGAGTATTTGGTATTGAAAAAACTATTTGATTAGATAAAAAGTTTTGAGAAAATTATGATAAAATTAAAAATGATTTTTGTTAAATAATTTATGTTATTTAACGATCACTATGCGAATGTTTTCTATGAAAATACGAAATTTTCAAAATTTCTAACTGATGAATAGGTATTCACAATATATCACTTAAATAACAGAAATTGAACTTAAATTTTTCCTCTGAAAGAGTTTTCATAATTTTCAATATAGTTTGAAATACTGCTTCAAAAATTCTTTCTATTTTAAGCAACGTATCTCTGAATCAATGCAATATAATCAAAATGTTAATAAGATATCAAGAATGCCAACGTGTGAAAAATTCTCATCTCGACAAAAGCACTACTTTATACTGGAAAAGGAATCATATTGAGAATGATAAAATTTATGCACAGAAAAATTAAAATATAGATATCGGAATTCTATTTATTTTGTTTCTTCATATCTATATATCGATCGAACATTTTCTTATATGCGACTAATACTTAAACAGAAAGTGTATAGCTCATAAGTCTTGAAGTTTCTCTGTCTTTTATGAAATCCCAGGAGGTTTTGAAGTCACACCAAGTTTCAAAATCTCACGGTCAAATTTTTACTGATTTCTGTAATGGTAACAGGATACTACTTAGGTCATACCAAAAGTAGTAAGCCTCGCATCTTCATCTCGTATAGACTGCTTGGAAAAAATTTCTTTTTTTATGAACAGATAGAGCGTCTTTTGCTCTATCTTTCTATGCTATTTGATTACTATTCAACTA